CACACCATGGATTCTTACATAATTTCAATGCACATAAAAGCTTTGCTGATAATTTAGAGCACTGAGCATTAATGAGTTTACCCCAAAATGAGATCATTCTAACTTTGATATCAATTAATAAGGGGTGTCTACCAAGTTCTCCATACACCATAAAGTTAAGATTCTCCCATTTAGAAATTGTTGAAAAGCTTGTCGTCATATGACAACAACAAAAATCACGCGTATACTGTGACGTGTACATCTCATTCTTTTTTTCTGGACACTGAAGCGAAGAGACGTGTTTTTGTGTAAGTTTGTAGATTCTATAGATTGTAGTATTTAAATATATAAGTACTATATAAAATGTGTTGTGATATAAATAAAATGTGGTTTATTATTTTAATGAAGTCTCGATACTATTTTAAAATTCTTAACTGTTTAACAAAAGTCTAAAAATGAAATTGACTTGATCCAGGATGTTTGTTTAATACAAAGGTGTAAAATATATAATCAAACACATTGACAAGAATCACTTTCAGCTTGAACGCACACACACTACGGATGTAAAAACAGTAAAAACAGGTCCTGATTTGTCTTTCAAGCTTAAGTAATATAAAATAGCCTATTTGTTATAAAAAAATTTTTACTTGATACAGATGATTTTGCTGATTTATAAAATATGTGATGTTATGCATATCTTTTAGCTTAATTTAATAAAAATAATTGCCTTATTATATTGTTTTAAAAGTATATCCAGTGTACATTTGTCATTTACGGATGTCTTCCAATTATAATTATTTGCGTTATTTATCTTGCCACGTAAACACGGCTGTTATTTATCTATACGCTTCCTATAATTTTAAAGACGCATAATGAATTATAAGGATGAATGAAATTAATATCAAAAATATGAGAAAATTAGAGAATGTAAATAGAAGCATTCAATTCTTATTTTTCCGTGCCATCAGATTATCAAAGTCAAATTGTAGGCGCGACTATGTGCAGGTATTCGACCAAATACTTACAAATACAAGAATATAATGCTTATTATTATTTAGTCAAATTCAGACGCCTTATAACCAATCAAAAAAGTGATGTATTAGCTGACTTGGTTGTGTGTCAATTACAAGATTTTTTTTTTTTTTGATTCTATAGACTGATAGGAAAAAAATTCCCTTAGAAATCGCCAATCCTCAATCAGGGGTGACTGGAAATTCCAGAAGCCCCCCGTTTTTTGGAGAATACCCATACAGAAGGGTAGAAGCCACAATAAAGTGGTAGAAGCCCCATAAAATTGAATGAAATGGGGTACATAAAACCCTAAGGTGATGTTTAAATGAATGATATCGATATCCGTAAATTTTTATAGCCAATTTTACCTCAGAGTCGACAATAATCGGGCGCCATAACTGGTTTACCGTACACCACGCCCGATCTAATTTCGAAGCGAGCTGCTGTTTATCATCGTATAGATAAAGTTAAAATTATTCATTTTAATTTTAATATGTTTGTTATGCAAGATATAAATCATGTAATGTAATAAATATTTTTTTTTAATTAAGAACGTTAGCCATTAAGATGATTTAAGATTTTTTTTTTATTTTTGAGATTTTAGAGAAATTCATAATTTAGAGATAAGATTATATCCAAAAGCTTCAAAGCAACAATGATAATAAAAAATAGTAATGATAATTAATTAATAATTACTTATATGTTTCAAAGAGAACAACAAAATAAATAAATTTCAAAATATGAAAATACTGAATTTATTTTTGAGATTTTAGACAAATTATGAATTTAGAAATATAAAAATATGAAAATCAAAGGTTCAAAGCAATAATAAGAATAATTAAATTTTAAAAATGAAAATAATAATATGTTAAAAGAGAACAAAAAGTAAATCAATGTCAAATATGAAAATATTGAAACCTGGAAAGAAATAGTAAATTAAAAGAATAAATCAATTTTCAAATATATAGATATTTTATTTCAAAGTAACCTTTTTATGTTCTTTTCTTAGAAAAAAATTCAGATGTTTTAAATATTTTACATCAGTTGTTTACATTTTGAATTGTCTTTAAATTAAAACAAATATGAATTTAAAAAAAAGTAAAGTATAAAAAACCACACCACAAAATAAAATATAACGGATTTTTTGATTGAATTTTAACTACGAAAAAATCTCAGTCTGGTTAAGTGAACTGAAAATCTTTTATCATCTCCAAGCATAGGTATCTGATGTACATGTAATTTCATTGCCAGTTGAATCTGTCTACGAAAAATTTCCATTGCCTCTCTGTTCAAACTAATCCCATCTTCACGCCAAATGTTTTTATTTGAATTCATTAAACCCCTACATCTCCAAAATATGACATTCTGAGAATTCCCATATTTCCTTTGTAGTGTGTTATTTATGTCAAAAACAGTAGAATTTTACTTTCCTGGATCCATGGTTCCACAAATCATTTGCCTAAATAGACTTTCAATAAATATTTTCTGAACCGAATCATTTCTTAACAGTTTTTCAATAATGTTTTGGATTCCTAACACTATATCTGACAGAGAAGATGAATATATATCTTTTTCTCCCACTGCAGAAACACTTTTAAACCAGTCTTAAACCATTAAAACCCAAAAATGTGTTTAAAATTGTATATTTATTATTTTTTCTAGAGTAGGGTTAGTATCAGGCAGTATTCCTCCCCCGCCAGACGGGTGCAGACCAGTGAATACTGTTTGGTGTTGTGTTAGATTAGGTTAGGAAAATATTTTTTTTAATATTGCTAATTAAATTATAAATTCCTTTCTATGAAATTTTTTATAATGTTATTTAATTTTATGTCAATTTCTTTCATTTGGCTGTAATATGTTTATACATGAACAAAAGATTGACTAGGAATAATGATAAAGTATCTTTATTAAAATAAGTCTTTTTTAATTTTTTTTTAAATTTTCTTTTAATCTTTCGGTCATCTTTCGGTCCTTTGACTTTAATATTTTTCTAGCTGTTCCAAAATTCAAATCATGGCTCTACAATTAAGGAGGCCTCCACGTGGCTAGAGCTGGGAACATAAGGAAACTATGAATATTTTCCAGGTATTACTAATTTAAAAGGTCTTTATTAATTTATCATTATTAATATTAGTATCAAAATTATCAAATTCATATTTTCCTTATGTGTGTGCTAACGTCCTTAAAATGAAAATTTGTATTTTAAGTATATTACCATTTCATATCAACATTATTTTAAAAAAAAAGATTATATTACAAAATCATTTATTTTACAATTTGATAATGAAAGTCAAGAACAATTGAGCATAGTCAAGGTTCAGTGTATATATACACATGCCCTGCCAGAGGGGGGTTGGTCAGACTAGCTGAGAACAGGTGTTTGATCAAAAGAAGTTTATTGTCAACTTGACCAAGTGTCAACAGCTGTGTATATATTGCATGTACACACACAGGGGTGCCTCTCTATCCCAGTACATAACAACACAGCTAGCTGATGTGTAAATAATATTCTCACCATATTCTCATAATACCCACTTTACAAGTGTTTGCATATGCAATTATGCACATTTTATTCATTTTCATGTATCTTTTTTATTTCCTGGACCTGGATTCTAATAATTTCATTCTAATGGATACATATTGCTCTCTAATATCAATGAGTATAATTTGTTCTATTACATGAACAAAAAAATTATAAAAAAAAAAAAAAAAAAACCTCTCCCAAATAAAACAGAACCAAAAAAAAAAAAAAAAATTACAACAAGTAACTGGAAAATAATAATGAATGCATGAATACTGAATTTCAAATATAAATAAACAATTGGAAGAAAAAGAAACCAAAACAAATACCTTTGAAATTAAATAAATTAACAACTTAAATCACTTTATTCATTAATTTATTTAACTTAATTTTATATTATAAATGATTGGAATTTTAAAAAAGGAATTTATTAATTATTAATTGCCTAGTTAAATTCATTTAAAACACCCAATCAATTAGTTTTTCACTATTTAATACAGCAATCTCTATCAACAGATTAAATCTCAATGTTTTTATGTAACAGTACACATCATCTATACAAATATTTTCAATAATGATTTTCGATATAAAATTCTTTTTGGTAGGTACAAACCAGTGTGGATAAAAGTATTCAAGTAGGCCATGAAATAAGTTCATAATTTATATTTTATTTCATTTAGGAAATATGTAAATATTTAATGCGTCATTTATATTCTTAACTTTCCTTTCATATATTTTTTTAAAAATAAAAATCATACATTATATTATTCACTTTTGATCAAGATAATGGTAATGATTTTCACGGATTACTCTAAACGATTTCAGCGATCGCGATTTTAGATCGGGTGTGGTGTACGGTATATGAAGACAAGAAGAAATGGCGCCCGATTTCTGTCGACTCTGAGGTAAAATTGGCTATAAAAATTTACGGTTATCAATATCATTCATTTAAACATCACCTTAGGGTTTTATGTACCCCATTTCATTCAATTTTATGGGGCTTCTACCACTTTATTGGGGCTTCTACCCTTCTGTATGGGTATTCTCCAAAAAACGGGGGGCTTCTGGAATTTCCAGTTACCGCTCAATCAGAGGTGTCCGTAAAAGCCGAGGCAATCAAGAAACTCGCTGACATCGTGATATCTGAAGCTGATATTGGACAAAAATGTTCAATTATGATTCACAATATGCAACAAATAAAGCGAACACAGCATAAAAAGTCAACTTGCTAGCATAGAGAACTATGAACCTTATTGTCAACAATCAATGATTAGGCCGGTAAAATTTCTTTTATTCCTAAAGAAAATCCATATCCTGATGATCAAGGACACTCCAAAAGTTAGACAGCACTTCCTGCTGTCCCTAACCCGGGAAATCAACATAGGGGATGTGATTCAGTTACTGAGCGAAAACTAACTCATAGAGACAGGGAGAAGACAAATAAGAAATGAAAGTCTGCTGAAACTGATTCTAAACCTGTGTTACACAGATCTATCACTGTAACAGGTGTTTATGACGGTGTGAGACACATTTCCTGTGTTACGTCAGACCGGGCTTGGGTCTGTGATTGGTATGACAATTTCATCTTAGCAAAAACAAAAGATGAAACACTAGATACTATATTTGATGGATATGGAGCACACACAGTGACCATAAGAGGTGAACTTATAATTATAGACAAGAGATATAACATAAAACTATATGAAAATGACAGGGCAAAATCCACATTGATAAAGCAGGTAGATCCATGGTATCCTTGGTGTGTATTCCGCTCTCCTATCAATGGGGATCTTTTGGTCGGGATGTATAAAAATGATCCTGTAGAAAAAGCCAAAGTAACCAGATATAGCACCACAGGACAACACATACAGACCATGCAACACGACAGTGCGGGTCAGACGCTGTATAAGAGTGCTGGGGACATCACAGAGAACCGTAATGGAGACACTGTTGTGTCTGACTCACGGCTTCGTGCAGTAGTGGTGACTGATCGTGAAGGTAGTCACCGCTTCTCCTACACAAGACCGCCATCAGGAGAAGAAATATATCCATGTTCAATCTGTACCCACGCTCTGTCACACATTCTGGTGCGTTATGCTTTCAGTCATACAGTACAGATGATTGACAAGGACGGGCGGTTTCTGTCATTATTACTTACACCACAATAGGAGCACCATGGGTTTTGAGTTATAATATTAAAACCCAGCTTCTCTGGGGTGCATTTTGTAACAACAACAACAACAAAGTTTGTATATACAGATATATAGAGAGAAAGGATAACCTGACATATGATTTTAAGTAGGTCATTTAATGTGCTCAGAAATTTATACAGACTCCAGGCTTTTTGGAAGTTTTTTTAAAAATAGTTTAATAAGTACAAACATAGGCATATAGACTTATTTGAGGGGTTATTACAATTTGTAAATAAAATGTACACATTTGTGTTCATACGTACAGTAGCTGCAACGTTATTGTTGAAAACCTTCACGAAGGATCATCATATTGCACGAACAATTCTTCACGATTAATACACGATTAAACTTTTTACACGAACAATCCTATACGCAATCGATTCCACACGTTACGCAGTCTTTCACAACTGCGCACGATTCTTAGTCAAAAATAGTTTAAATGTTTACGAATTCATATTTTCAAATCGAAATAAGGCTTCATAGTAATCGAATTTTCAATGAAACATATATTGAAATAACGAACAGTATCCAAGATTAAAAGTCCGAAAAACTATATAAAATAGGAGCAGAGCAAACAAGGACCTCCAAAACATCAGAGGTTGGACCAAGTGCCACAGAGGAGTGTGCATCCCCTGCTGACCTGCTGACCGGTAACTCCTGTCGTGTGCTCTTTTTCATGATCCGTAAATAACAGAAAATCATCACGTGACGCATTTCATTAGATTTAATATATGATTAAATTAAACAAGCTAATTCAGAGAATTTGTGTCCCCCGCTTAGGGAAAAAGTCGGATCCCTCTGACTGAATTTGTAGAATTATTAAATGTATACATGTATACTGAAGCAAATAAAATACATGTATGTCAATATGCATATAAAGATTTGATTGCTTATTCTTTATTATGTGTATTGAAGATTCTTTTTATATGGATGATTTTATAAATTCATAAATTTTTCATTTCACATGCTGAATACTATCATTTAGTAAAAAAAAAGAAAAGTATTTTTTAAAAAAAAAGAACGACCGTGATTCGATCCCGGGACCTCTCACATGGGAAGCGAGAGACATACCACTGGACCACGGAATCGCATTACACGGGATGAAGTATATGCGGAACTGAAGTCACATACAGGTATATATTCATGTTCGGTATTCTCAAAATTTTACACAATCCATGTTTGATTTATTTAGCCTATATTAAACAGTTCTAATAGATGTAATAAGAACATAAAGTCCGCCGAGAACCTGTTTTTAACGCAGTAACTCTCCTCATGCCCCTGTGTTAAAAATAGCGACATGTAATACTATAAATACTAATGAAGCAAACGGGGCGGGGCACTTTGAGAGGGGTGATAGAGGTCCTAGGGAGTTTTGGTATAAAATTACATTGCATAAGCTCAAAATCTTCTTGAAATATCGCCCGGAAATTATAGAGTTACACACAGAGAGAATGTATATTAATTAAATTCCTTGAACTTTGACCTCAAAATCAATAGGTGTCTTCATTAGACCACAGGGAGTTGTTATGTAAAATTTCATTGCAATAGCTCAAATGGTTCTAGAGATATCGTGTGGAAACGAAAGTGTAATAACAGACAGAATTTACTTATTTATGACCTTGACCTTTGACCTTTTGACCTCAAAATCAATAGGGTTCTTTTTTAGTCCATAGGGAGTTGCTATGCTAAATTTCATTGCAAAAGCTCAAAGGGTTCTCGAGATATCGTGTGGAAACGAAAGCGTTACAGACAGACAGAAAGACGGACGGACGGACGGATGGACAAACCCAAATTATATCCCCCACTTTTCAAGCGGGGGAAAAAAGTGAAAAGTTTAACAGTACCCTGGGGATAATTAACTGCAATTTCTCATAAAAATCTATAAAGTTAAATCTAAACCTTGAAACGTGCTGCTAGATTCCTACATTCCTATCACAGAAATGATTATTCCACTCTTTTGGATGATACCTTACTCCTACAAGTAAGAGCCTCGGTTAACATCCTTACGCTCCTTATGTACCTCGGACTCTTACATCCGAAGGCCTTTTTCTAACGAGCTCGTTTCGCCTGAGATTTTGGCGGAACATATGATTAACTGTTAACAAGTAATTTTCCGGTATCTACATGTTTGCATGGGGTATGAAAGTCACAAGAAATCATAAAATCCATTTAATTCAGTGTGCATTATTGTTCATTAATGAAAATTGTCATTATTCCAATTTGTCACCAGAAGTACTTTCGATTTGACTTCACATTAATTTTGTGGATTGCTAGTCAGAAACGAAATTTTCGTTGCGTTAAACTAGTTTCGTTTCGTCAGAATTTCTGCATTCCATTCCCGAATTTTAAACAGACGATTTGTTTCAATTTCTGCTTAGATTTAAAAAATAGGGGATTTATTGCTAATACGAGAGATTAACAGTGTTTTATGCGTAAGTTTAATCGTAAATAGTGAGTATTTTATTATTTCGTGCCATTCGTTAATATACAAAGCCTTATTTTTCATCAAATAACTTATTTCTACTTGGGGTTTCAATGGCGAGAATTTTACAATGGATGCTAGAGGTTACGCGGCGCCAAGTCAAAATTATCTCGCCGTGAACCTCAAGCATGCTGGAAAAGATGATACCTTACCAAAATATTTACATTTTGAATATGAGACCGTTTAAAAATCATCAATTCTAGTTAACCACAAAATTTTATAGCTCACAGCACGTTCCAAGAAAGAAATGTGTGCAAACAAATTGAGTAACGCACATATTTTCCCAAACTACTTTGAAATCGAATCCAATGAAGTCAATGCCGTTATAGTTCACAGGAAATAAAGACATTTTCTTGCTCCCGAATGTTGATTGTCTGAAAGGTAAAGGCAGGCGTGATCAATTGTAAAAATTTTACATATATACGATAGCAACGAATTTAATGTATGAAGTCTTCACATTTTACACAACCAATCTGCAGGTTATATTTAAGGCCAGATTCTTAAATATCATTAATAATTGAAATATAGTCTTTTGTATCTTCTAGAGGGTCATTTGTAGAATAATTGTATTACAACTCATTCTGTTTCTAAACACAAGAATTGGTAAAATTAAGACATTCTTGAGTATTTCATTAACGATATTTACGAATTCTTTGCAAACAGTTTGTTGACACTTACTTTATTGTTGTAATAATGCCTTTGAAACTGAGGTTCAAATTCAAAAACTTAGTATTTGTTTCATTCTTTCCTATAGATTATACAAATAATGAACTTAACAATATGACGTCACTGCATTTCCACATAAACGGATACATTGCTACGGTAAATATCATTTTTGAAGAAAGTCAATCATTTCAAATGCAAGAAAAGGATGTTTCAAATATATTTTTCTACAAATGAATTATGACATAACAAGCATTAACCAACTGTATTGATAAACAAGTTTGTATATAGATTTTATAAGATTGACTCTACTATTTTTTTAAGACTTTTTCTCCATCAAACAGGCAACGGAACATTTCCTTATCTGGGTGGTGTGCCTTTATCACTGTCATTCCCATTCTCTTGCTGTGTAATTCTTTGTTGTGGGGTTCTGGATGTTTAAGAAGATAGTGTTTGATAATACCGGGTTGAGCAAACTAGAGATATGGGGGGAGACTTGTGATTGATGAAGCCACGGATACTACTAACAAAATTTCAATTGTGAAATGATTTACTAGTATATCAGTAACTATTTACTAATATACCACATGGCCACGTGATAATCAGTTTGTTTTGGGTAATTCTAATGGGCCAAGCAATCTGGGACAAATTACTAGAATTAAAGGAACCATGCCAGCGCCTAATGCCCCGAAACTTTTCTTGTGCTGACGATTTACACAGTAAATCCTGTCGCCTGTGTTAATGAAACGTTTGTAGATTACGAACAGTCTTCAAGATCAAAAGTCCATAAAACAAAACATACTGTAATAGAAGCAGAGCAAACACGGACCTCCAAAACATCAGAGTTGGGATCATTCCCTGTCGACCAGTTACATTTGCCGTGTGCTCCTTGTCATGATCGAGAGACAACGAAAAATCCTTCGCCAATTCAGTGTATAAATAATTGACTAACAACGAGTATGAAAGACGTCAGTCAGCATTTGACTCAATAATAAATTGTGTTTGCTTATAATATTGACCATAGATCCTACGTAATGATGACTTTAAACGAGACTGCTGATATTCTTGTTTCATCAACTTGTTTGTCAATAATTTACATCGTTTTAGCATGCCCTTACATATAGACTCGACTGATACATATATATAAATGCACCTGTATGCAGGAGATGAATATATATTGCTGCATACATAAGGGAAATTGATGATTGCAAAGTTAGTCATTACGTGTATCATAGAGCTTGGGTGTTATTTTACCATAACCATCTCTTTCAAGTAAAATATCCAAATATAAAAAATCTTTCAGAATCTGTGGTATCATTTATTCCGAGCTCACCAGGATATATCTTATCAAAATAAGAATGAAAATTACCCTTGTTAATTGACCATTCGTCTTTGATATTTCGAAACATCGATTTGATGGCCACAGGAAGTGTTTTCTTCTTTTCAAGCATAAGACTTTGGATTTGCTTATAACGGTATAACGGGGGCAATTAATACTCTTGGGAATTCAAATAGATTGTTGGAAGCCCAGCAGACATGCTTATAAAGCTATCTTAGGACTAAGTCATATCTTAAGACAAACTTACGACATTTGTTAATCTAAAGTGAGGCCTTTGAAGCTATCCTATCTTAGGAGACCTCTAAATCTTAGTCCTAACTTTAAGACGACTGCGGACATGTCTTAAGTCATATCTTTGGTTATTTTAAGAAGAGTTGGTGTCAGGAAAACAACTAAGAGTCATATTTTTTGTAAATATAAATCACATATTTGCTCTAAATTAATGATTTCTTTAATGAACTAAATCAATTTATAAACATTGTACCGTGTGAA